TGATGTGGCTCTCCCATTTCTGAAGCATGCTTGGCGGGAGATAAGGAGGACTTGTCCTTAGACAGGAGTGGCATCCAGGTGATAGGTAACTGGTAAGAAATATCAGTTGCTGTAGGGCTCTTGCCAGCAACCACTCTGAAGGGACATGATTTTTCTAAAGGCCCCATGCTGTATCTGCTAGAGACATGTAGTTGTGCAGGACACCCCAGACACCCTACGTGTCCCTGCAGGTCTCTTTTTGCATCACTGAATCAAGTGCCTGCTCTGAATGATGCTAACTGTTTGCAGGGTGTGCATGAATGTCAGCTGTCTTGTTAGAGGAGCTCTGGTGGCAGCGGGCATCTGTCTCATTTCAGTTAATCCCTGGAGATGGGGAGTGGGAATGAGGTGGCCACCCAGGAACACATGGTGACATTGGATGAGACAGAGGTGGTGCAAGGCATGTGCTAGTGTCTGCTGGCTCTGATGGAGCATCTGAGAGACCCGTATCTTTCTGCATCCTGAGTTGGGGGCCAAGTGGGGAATTTCCATGGCCATCACAAATGACCTCAGATGACCAATTGTTGGGAGCCAAGCCGGATTACAAGACACGGAGTCAATATGAGTTAAGATCTTGCTCCGTTTATTAGCCGAAGTGCGCATATATTTATACCTACAAGTATATGAGGGATTTCCAGGCTAGCTATGATTGGTTGCTAGGGGGGTTGCTAGGTCCCGGCTGCATAGGCTCTTCTCAGCTCTGCAAAGTTGTTTACCCGAAATGGCTAGCTACTCTTTCCTCCTCATTCCCAGCCGACCAAGGACAATTCGCCAACACTCCCCTGTTCATTATCAGCAAGGCGCAGGTGGTGCAGATCCTCAGCACAGCATTTCTCCACAACCAATACTGCTAGAGTAGTGCCCACTATGAAGCTGGGACACCAGTATGTCCCTATGATGCAAAATCACCCATGCCATCCCCTCAGACTCTTCATCCAATGACATAAAAATAGATCTGAAGGGCCATGTCAGCTGCCTGGGGCATCCTGCACAACTGCATGTTTCTAGCAGATAGAGCCTGGCACCCCCAGGAAAGCCATGCCCTTTTGGAGTGGTGCTGGGCAAGTGCCCCAGGATATCCCCAGTGTCCTACCTGTGCCCAAAGAAATGAGTTCCACCTCTGGCTTCAGGCACAGTCTGCGCTGTCCACATCCAAGTGTGCTGCTTTAATGGAACACACATCACACAAAGGTCTCCACTCGTGTCCCTGGGCTCTTGAAACCTTCTAGTTCTCTTCTCTGTCACCCTCTTTTCATTACCAGATGACAGGAATAAGAACAGTGTTAATATGTCCATAGGGTCACTGGATTGCGGTCCAAGGCAGGACCCTCTTCACTGGTGCATCGTCCTTCCTGGAGATCAGTTCAGCTCTGTCCCAGGCCCCAAGGTGCTGCAGAGGGATCTCAGGCAGCAAAATCCTCTCCTTTCAGGGTTGGGTGGCCCAGCTCTGTTTCTCCCTGACCCTGGGCTCTGCAGGCTTTGCTCACTTATCGGGACCCTCCTCTCACCATCACATTGCCACCTGCTCTCCATGACAGCATGCCTGTGCTCTGAAGTGCAGCCACCACAAACACTGTGTCCTTGGCCCTTGGTATAACAAGTTTCACCATCACCAATCTTTTCTCTGTGTCACTGCGGCGGCTCTGCAACTGAAACATGCACAAGTGCATAAAGCCTGGGGCAGAGAGAGGAGCAGATGGAGGTGCCCATCTAGCTGAAACATTATTGCTAGAATAGCTGGGATGTGGTGGAATCTCATACAGGATTATACAGCCTGTACAGTGGCAGGGTACGAGATCTTCAGAAGAGAGCGTAGGAAGATGAGCAAGGAGGCTGCCCTTTGTGCAAAGGGGCAGCTCAGATGTGTGGAGCTCTTTGAACATGAGGTCTAGGGCTTGGGTGCAAGCTTGTAAGTGACAAGGGCGAGACTGCAGTGGGAGTTATCAACCACCCAAGCAGGATGAAGAGGTGGGTACAGTCTTCTTTAAGCAATGTTAGCAAGTGTGCAGCTCAAAGGGCACCCCATGTGCACACATGCTCCCTGCCCTGGCTCGCAGGTTGTGGGGATAGTTGTTCTCCAGGCCTGGCTGGCTCCTGCAGGAGCTGGGAGAGGGCTGAGGAGGCAGCAGTGCCCTGGTCTGCAGCACATGTCAACACCTTCACCTCACAAACCACAGGAGGACTCATGTCCCTCCTCCCTGCAGTCCTCCCAGGGGATAACTCCTTCCAAACAGGCTGAGGGCAGCCTGACGCCTCCTTGTCCACCCAGAGGGCATGTCCTGGATGGACTCCCATCAACACTGCCAACTGCGTGTTCCCAAGTGCCTGTTCCAGGAACCATTCTCTGGAGGGGACTGCTCACTTGTCACAGCCACAGGCAGTGCAGTGCCAAGAGGATGGTACCAGGCCTGTTCTTCTAGCATTGCCTTGAATAAGTGACTTGTGAG